ACAAATATTATATATTTACCGTCCGTTCCCATTGCAACTGCATTAAACGACTCGGCTCGGAGCGACTGATTCGTTCCGGGTTGGGAAATTGCAGCTAACGGTAGTCTAGTTACCACAGATATGAAACGCTAGATAGAGGCCACTGCGCTTAGTAAGGGCATAGGCTGCTGTTGCATAATCTATACATAATTGTACAAAAGTTTTTTTTTTTTTTATACAACTTAGAATAGCAAACAAGCTGACGGTCCACCTGATGGAAAGTGGTAACCGTCGTCTATAGACATGAGCAGTACCATGGTCATAACAGAGTATACTATTACGCCCATGATACCCCCCGTACGTTGCCATTCCTGAGGACTCAGATGTTATTCCTCTGTACCCTGTAATTTCACGTCATATCCCACCCTTCAAACCGAAACACAGCCATGCAAACAAAACTGCTTCACGGTAGAAACACGAATGGGACAGAGGTAACCCAAGCGATCGACTTTTGTACAAAGTCTCCCTCTGGTAAGATAGCTAGTCAACATGTTAGAAAGTCCAGATCACAAAAAAATTGTACTTTTATAAAAGTAGATTTATATAATAAATAATAATTCGAGTCAAACAAAAATATATCCTAGCAACCGTTATCTGTCTAACCGACTCTTATATCTGTGGTTGAAACCATTCGCGGTTAGCCATCGCGAGACGGAAGCTTTAATCAAAACGCAAACCTAGGCACCAGTGAATCTAAGATTTATCTATACACTTGATTACAACGAACGAATAGCAATTTGTACGTGATACAACGGATGTTTTATTAACAAAATACGTAATTACGCACTAATACATGGTTATAGAATAAAAAAAAAACATATGCGGTCTAAGCTAAGCTCTTGATCAAATTAAATAATTATAACATTGGTTTGTATTTTTGTAACCTACCTGTAATTTCGTTATATAATTTCAGTGCATTAAAATTAGCATATAAGATGCTAATCGAGTATCTAAATATATAGAGCAGTATTAAAAAAAATGTCTTATATAGTTTATAGTACTTATACAGATACTAAGAAGAATACAGTATTCCTGTACAGTTGTAGACAAAGTGTGAACCGTGAGACCTACGTGAGAGGTGAGAGATCCACCGCAATACCACAACTCAAAGAACAAAGAAAATGTTTTTCCATTTTGTCCAATTTAGTAGGAATGGTTTAAATTTAAATTCAAATCATCTTTATTGTAATACACTTGCTTACAAGCACTTTTAAATGCCTTTTTACTTTTTAATTCTACGGGGTTCGGAAAGTCGTTATCTGCTAAGAGCCCGTTTATATATATATATACATATACATACATATTATATATATATATATATATATATATATATATATATATATATATATATATATATATGTATATATATATATATATATATATATATATATATATTTATATATATATATATATATATATATATATTATATACAGAATTCTGTATTAAATTGACGAATTGGAGATAATTTCATCAATTTATGAAAAATTATTATAATTTAATAATTCTTTATTAAGAAAATTTTCCACGTGTATTTTTTTCCATATAGCTACAGCACGTACAAATAATTATCACGAAACTTTAAAAAAATATGCAAACGCAAAAAATATAGCAAACAAAAATCCATGCCATGAGGATTGAGAACCTCAACTACACAGCAAATAGTACAACATGGTAAATAACAAAAATAAGAGTCATGTCAGCGGACAACCCGCAATTATCTTGGATTTGAAATTTTGGTCGAATCATTGTCATTATGCTCTATTAGGCGGTAGCGCGCAAAAAGACAATAACTTAGAATATTAGCTTTTGATTGGTATATATCAATATAAGTTTTTGTGGTGGCAATTACTTCATTTAATGCTGTTCAGTTGATCTCCAAAAGGATGAGGTTCTCAGTACAATTGTATTTTTTGTTGAGCTAAGTGACGGGATAACATAGCCAGTTCTGAACCGTTTTCAATTATTCCTTTTGCAATCGATAGAATATGCACCCATATTGCTCCTATATTACCATAAATTGATGATTCAATGTGACGTGTTTGCGGAACATAAATCAGCCCGTTACGAAACAGATTCTGCTTGAAGTGAAACAATTCCACATTCTAAATTCAAATATTTTGAATACGAAATATATCGTCGATCATCGGTGTACATTACCACAATTAAAGTTACGTGTTTATCTTGTGGAACAAAACGTATTTAAAATAATAGAATACAAAATTATATAAAATAAATTCTAATGAAATAAAATTATTAACGCAATAGGAATGCCTACCCTACACTATCATACATATTCCACATTTAAACATCTCACCATAATACCTACTCTATTCTGGCGTTGAAGGCCATACAACTAGGTTGTTCAACCACAGTCCCTGAAGCATGACCAATTTGTGTTGCAATTTTTTTACTGGTCACACTTATATCTCATGTCTTATTACCATAAAAGATAAAGGCAGAGCATAATATATTTACTACTAATAATTTATTTAAAAATAAGCAGAAAAGTTCAATTAAACATTGTATTGATGCTTAGTAACTAAACTAGTAAAAGTACAGGCCCCAACATGACATACTGATTCAAATCCTGACTATATAATATATTGAAATATAATTCTCATATTTTAATAACATTTCTAATTCATTTTGAATTAACTTCATTCTTATTTACAATCATATCAACATTCTTGTATCATATTATAAAATCATTTATTAATTTCTATTTTATTACCAGCAATGATATATTGCTGTATAAAAAAAATATTTAACATGGTTCAACTTAATAGACTTCATATAAACATACTTTTTTTAAACACTGGCAATTTTTTTATTAACACTACTTCACATTTTAGACAGTGCCATCTAGTTTAATACTAAACAGAACTAGTACATATATTTTTTAAACTACTCATTTAAGATAATGTAGAAAACACCCAAACCAATACAAACAGGCATAGACATCAATTCAATTGTTTGTATTATTTGGAGACTGTACCCATAACCATCATAAGGCAAGATGGTAGACATTGAAACAACTTCATCACATACATAAAACCATACAGACTCTTGTACTTTTTTTATTAAATTGCTTAAATATATTTTTGTATTATTATTTAACGTAAAAAAAGTAAAGAAAATTTCATCATCATTATCTCAGACATTATTTATCCATTGCTGAACTTAAGCATCCCCCATAGACTGCCATAAGGAAGGATGAACCACCTGCATCTTTGCAAATCAATTATGACAATAAATATGATGAAAGGAAATCATTAAATAGCATAAAACAAGGTCTACACTACACTACATATATTTCTACAATTACTTCCTCCAAACCACATAAAAGATTTAGATATGTGTTTCACTGTCATTTAGACATTTTTATAGTAGGTTTGTATGTACAATACATACTTATTAACTTTTGTATACATAAATAATTTGAGGTGGGGGGGGGGGGTTGACCAAACAGACGCTGGGCAAATGCGTTAATGATGGCATATGGATCAATGTGAATGAGAACAGTCCAAAATAGGGATATGTGGAAGGAAAAAGGGGAGGCCTACACTAAAAAGGTGACTACTACAATTTAAAACTTAAATAAATACAAAGATTTATGAAATGGTAATTATGTTAGAGTAGAATAAATGGCTATTTTATTTTATTTATTATAAAGAGATAATTACGGTATCTATACTAATATTTATTTATGTACACTTTATTGCACCATTTATATTAAATTAATATTATAAAGAGAAAAGATTTTACTGTTTGTAATAAACTCAAAAAGTAATTAATCAATTCTAAAAATTTTTCATCCATAAAATGCTACATTATCACCAAGTAACATAGACTGTATTTTATTTTCTAAAAGAACATGCGAAGTCAGAGTATGTTACTTCTATAATAAATTGCATACATGCAAAGCCAGAACTTGTCATTACTGTTAAAATAAAATTATTTACGGGACCTACATTCAATTTACCTAAATGTTATGTTATGACTACTTGATCTTTTTAAAAAACAGACTATGTAAAATATATAATTATAATTAATTACTTAAAGTAAAATATGTAAATATTTAATTATCTAAATGTCCTTCAATGCCAATATAGAGATAAATAAGAGCAATTGCATTTAAGGTTAAATATATTTTATCTATAAGTGCTATTAAATATTTTATATCTGTACTATTATTGATTATGATTCACACTCCAAATTAAAACACAATTACCAAAAATGAAAATAATAAAGTTAAACAAATAAAAATGTACTAAATAATTATAAGAATAATAATAATAAACAGATTTATTTCTCTTCACAATTCATTACAGTGAAATACAATGCTTATATTAAACAAATTATAAATATAATTGTGAGAGACTGGTGCCTGAGATAGGTATAAGAATACCTGTATTAAATAAGTGTTACTTACTAAGCACTTGTAATACAATCAAAGAATTCAATGTAATAAATATAATTTATAGAAAGAGATATTTAATTATAATTTAATCTGGAAGTTGTAAGTATATAGCAATAATGAAGGTATATTTTAAAAAATGTGATTTTATACAATTTTATTTATGTGTCTATTTTTAAACAGAATTTAAGAATAAATAAACAACTGCTAAAGAATCATACTAAATGCCTTATCCTCATGCTAGAATATTGTGAAAAATCAAGGATGTTATGAAAAATCAAGCAATTAAAAAAGGAAATTAATAGTAAAAAGTTATAAAAATTAATTTGATGATATTACTTAATTTCAAATTCTCAATCCATAAAGATAAATATAACAAGTTCACAGTATAAATAACAAATTTATTAAATATATTATGTAGCTGCTAAATAGATTAATGTATCTAAATTAATAAAATCAGAATTCTACCTTGCAATAAATAGATTTATTCTATGTTAGTTTAGTAATTGATTCTGAACATAACAAGATTATTACAAGACTCACCTTGAAAGCTGGTCTGCCAAGTGTTCCCAAGTCTGCATGGTATAAATCTGTCCATTGGCTCGGGCCGGACCAGCACTGACTGTTTTCTGCTCACAGGACTGCATGATTGCAACAAACGGTTGTGGTACGACTCACTGAACATTATGAACGTTCTTAGTCCAAGTTCTGAACACCAACTAACCAATTCAAAGAACTGGATACTTCAAAAATGAGGGTGTATCAGAAACCAAAAATACAGGTAGAATTATTTATTCATATTTAACGATAATTGTCATAATGAAAACACCGACGGTAGACCAATAAATAAACAGTTCACAGGAAGAGTAGTGTACTCCTCAACTGCTAATATGCATTTGACTTTATTTGACATGGTTGGAGAAGCAACAACAAACTATACTATCCATGGATTCATGAATAATTGCACACATTACAAATTTCGAATAATGCCCATTAAATTGTCGATTTCTAGACTAGTACACACGTGTAAACGAAATTAAATTCGGTTTGATGAATAATTTAAGCTAAAATATATCGGTATATAATTCTTTACAACTGACATCAATAAATTTTCAGGGATGCCATATTAAAAATATTGTTTAAATTTAACCGTTGGGATTGTGCTAAAGTCTCAAAATGCAACTTAAACATGGAACGGCAAAGTTGATGCATGAATTCAAAGACAGTGCAGGAATTAATGACTATTTATTTACTAAAAGATGTTGATATCTTCATTTCATTGTTTTAATATCTCATCTCACCGTATAGAATAGAATAATGATAGCTGCTATTTAGCATCTCTTTCTATTAACTGCTCTAATTCATCTATCTCTAAAATTTCAATTCGATATTCCAAGTGAACTGACTTCATTTTCACGTAGTATCATAATACCTCGCCAGCGTATACCAATATTGCAGGTGAAGTTACTATTTAATATTCACCAAAAAACCTTATCTTTCAAGGGGGCTTAAGAAATTATTAGTAATGGAGTATAACAAGTATATTGATAGCAATACTCCTAACTTTTCACTTATAACACTTCACTGGTGCCCTACCCATATTTTTTTTTTATTTATTTAATAAGGTTCACATACAACTTTTACATTTTACATGCAACTTAATAACACAAAAAATAATTTTGCCTAATGTAAAAATCTTTTATACGCGAACACCACATGCACTATTATAATATTTAATAAATCATTAACAATAACAGTAACAGTAAAATTATCTGAATAATAAGTAATTATGAACTTATGTCTAAGATTTTCCGCAATAAGCTATATCTGCTGTTGGTGGGTCCAAAATTGATGTCAATTTGATCGCTGTGAGCATTCAGAATCCTACACAATCTGGGTACAGGCGAGTTGGCTCCTAACACTGTTCTTCTTAACGGAGGACATAAAGGTGTTATCTGTTTCCGAGGTATTCTAGAGGGAACACGAAAGTTAAACAATTGAAGCATTTGTGGACAATCTATTATATGCGTCAGTATTTTAAAACCAAAAGAAATGTCAATAAAATCTCTGCGTTTTTCTAATGAGATGATATGAAAATGCTTCAGCTTGTCAATGTAAGAGGAGTTTTTTATTCCTTTATTATTTAGATACGAGAGGTGCCACAAAAATCTCTTTTGAATACGTTCAATACGTAAAACATGTGTACAATAATGTGGACGCCAGACTACACTACAGTATTCCAGTATATGCGGACAAGACTATTATATATATATATATATACGAAAATCTTTAGTGTTTCTTATAATAAATCCTAACATCATAGCTTTTTTAACTACATTATCTATATGAGGCACGAAAGTTAATTTTGTATCAAAGGTCACTCCTAAGTCTTTTATGGTGTTCCTAGATTCAATTATTTCATTTTGAATATGGTAGCTGTAATCAATAATGTGCAATTTTCTAGAGAATTTCATATTAAAACACTTTTTAGTGTTTAAATTCATGCCATTTTGGAGACACCATTTATGTAGTCTACTTAAGTCGTCTTGAAGCTTTAATGCGTCCTCAATAGTTGTAATCAACCCAGCAAACTTCAAGTCGTCTGCGAATATGTATAACTCAGAAAACTGGAAACAGTTTATGATGTCGTTAATAAATATATTAAAAAGGATCGGCCCCAAATGAGATCCTTGAGGAATACCTGAGACCACCGAGTGGAAAGAAGAACGGTATCCATTCAAAACTACATAAAACGAACGATTGGATAAATAAGACCTTAGCCAGGAGAGCAAAGCACCCGTTACACCATACGCAGAAAGCTTATATAGTAATATTCTTGGAACTCTATCAAAAGCCTTGCAGAAATCGGTGTAAATAACGTCGTATTGCTTACCAGCGTCAATTGCATTCACGACTGATTCAGTAAATACTGAGATTCGTGGATCTTGCACTTACAAATCCGTGCTGACAGTCCGACAGATAAAGACGAAAATGATATTGAATATGGGGACAAATTAAAGACTCAAAAATTTTAGGAAAAGCTGAAAGCATTGAGATTGGTCTATAATTATCTATGAAACTGTCAGAATCAGACTTATGAATAGGGACAACCTTTTGCAACTTTCCAAGCTGATGGGAAAACTCCAGTTTTAAGAGAAGTATTAAAAATAATAAAAAGCGGCAAAACTAATTCTAAAGCACATGCTGATATAAATATCGGAGAGATCCCATCGGGTCCTGCTCCCTTGTTCTTATCTATTGTCTTTAGTCGATTTAACAATGCATCGTATTTAATTACTGGGGCGAATAAACACTGGCTATTATTTTCCAAAAAGTCAATAAAATCGGAATGATAATTGGTATGGCTATCATCAATGTTGAATGAAGAAAAAAAATATTTCGCAAACATTTCACAAATCTCGGTTTGGTCCGATGTAGTAGTGCTGCCATTAGTCATAGAAGTGGGGTAAGTGCTAGAACCACCCCGCTTCGTTTTTACATGTGACCAAAATATCTTAGGATTCACTTTAATTTCTTTTTCAATTAACTCTTTTGAAATATTTTTACAGCGAGTACTAATCAACTCCAATTCCAGTTTATCCATTGGATTTCCATATTTTTTGTATCTTAACCTTAGTTTATTCTTTTCCCTTAAATATCTTATCAACGTGCGATTAAACCACGGTGGAAATTTTTTGTATTTTAATTTTTGAAGTGGTACAAATTTTCGTATACAGGAATTTAAAATTTGATAGAGTAACTCAACCATATCATCCACGCCCTGAAGTCCATTGAATAACTCCCTCCAGTTCACATCTCGCAATGTTCCTTTTATTTCTTCGTAATTAGCATTGTAGAAGTTATATTTGGTTTGTGAATAATTAATAATAATATAAACTAATGACATAGGCGGTTACAAATCAATATCTTCTATTATAAAACCATAAGGATAAAATATGGTGAGGACAGATCTTATCCATCACCTTACAGTAAAAGGTTGTAAATAGAAAAAGGAAGTGGTAATTGATTGACATAGTGTATGCAGCATATATATGCATATATATGCAGTTTACATATTTTGCAAATTATCCAAATGCGATTCTTTTTCTTTGTATCTATTCTCAGACAGAAATATTCCGTTTATGTTCTTTCATTTGTAACCACAAATGTTTATTTAATTTGGATTTTTATTACAATATATTCTTTGCTTTACAGTTACCACTGTAACACATAAACATTGGTAAACTTTAATATGAACATGCTTTTCAAAAGGTTTCCAATTTTTTTTTATTTCGTATTGAATTGAATTATACAATAATTAAAAAAATAATACCCAGATGCTAAATAAATATTTGTTCTTAGTGAATGTAGAACAATGGTAATAACTTTTTTTTATAACTGTCATTGTTTAATACAATTAAGTATCGTAAACCTAAATGTATCCCCTCCCCCTTATAAAAGTATGTACAAGGAATGTCAAAATTAAATGATTGTAAATCAGAAAAAAGTAATTTTACACCTTATTTCATAGTTTCTGTATAATAGTATGCTGTTCCATGGAATTATCTAAAGATTATTTGCATATACATACACCAGCAACGCGCATCTTTTTTTCAAAATTTCTATAATTCATGATAATTTGGTATAAAAAATGTTACATAATGAGTCGATTCCGAGACGTTATTTCTCTAAACTAATTCCTTAACCTAATACTATAATTTCACAACTTATTGATTATTAATGTTTTATGAACTGTCATAAATTGTAATTATAATTATTTAGACTTAAATCTATCAGATAATCGGTTCATATTGGTCCTTAAAATAAAAATTTTGCTGTGTCAGTGTTAGTCAGACTTTAGAGATGTTTTAAGAGAGACGCTACTGCCCATCCCTTGTCTTTCTTTAGTTGGCTCTTATTTGCCAATTGGTTAAAAACTTGAATTCACATCTGGCAATCTTAAATTCTAATTAAAAACATTCCAAATAATAGTCGCATTTTTAGACATAGTCTCTCTATCTAATCTGTTCTCTAATTGTAATCTGTGTTTAATATGTATATGTAAGACTAAATCTTAATATTTAACTGAATTTCTAATTTCAGATTTAAGAATTTTATTTGAAATGAATTCATATTGTACTAATTAAAGTCATTGTTCCTATTGATTTAGGACGTAGTTTTCGAAGGGATCTGTTTGTGTACACTTATACAAGAGGTAGATAATACGTAGAACTTTAGCAATTTGCTATCTTAGCAGTCTGTGATTTTAGCAACAATCAGCATTACAAGAAGTACAAAAATATGGATTTTCGACGTAAGCATAAACATGAAGATAATTTTAATGAGTCTCCCACGTATTCGAGATTGTTTGTGGTTACGGAAAAAAAAGTAACTGAAGAGCAACTCAGAGATGCATTCACTACATTTGGAAATGTCGAAGACATACGTATACCTCGTGATCACAATACAGGCGAAAGTAAAGGTATTGCTTATATAAAATTTTCTAAAACAACGGAAGCCGCTGCTGCTTTGGAGGAAATGAATTTAAAAGTACTTCCTAATTCTAACCGCCCATTAAAAGTCATGGTAGCCGTTAATCGCTCCGATATCCAGACCGACGATGATTATGACGAAAAATATAGAAGAATATTTATAACTATCCCAAAAACCATGTCAGAAAAAGAGATTAAAGATGAGTTCTCTGACTTTGGCCATGTAGAATATATTCGCATACAGAGAGAACGCAACACTGGATTTTCCAAAGGGTTTGCTTATGTCAAATATACAAAATTCTCAGAAGCAGCCCGGGCATACGAAGACTGTGATCCAAAGTATAGAGCTATCTTTGCTTTGCCAAAATCCAACAATAAACGTTTAGAGACAACATTTGAGTCTAACATCAACTCTCTAGCCATGTCTTCAATTGGATCAAAGACTTCACTTTTATCAGCTATGAATGTACGTCCTGGTAATTACACTAAGGTTAATTTCACATGTTCCCCTTACCTTACTCAACTACATGTTGAGAGGATTTTTGATATTGTACCAGGAATGGTACATTGTCAGTACTATGTTGATTTGATGCGTAATTATGGTAAAGGTACCGCTTCTTATTCAAATCCTATTTCTGCAACTTATGCAGTTGAGAAATTAAATAAATTTGAATATCCACCAGGTGTTAAAATTTTCGTTAGGCCCGCTGACTCAAAGTTTGACCCCCATGAAAAAAACTTCACCAACATACCTAATGCAGTGAGCAATTTGAAGAATGCTATTACTGCAACTGCTAGCTCTTCTCCTCCTGACCTGGCACAGTTGGCTGAAGCTATCGCTGAAGCCTCAAAATTAATTAAAATGGCTACCACAGGTGTAAGTGACGAAGACATGCCTGATAGCAATGAATTGAACTATTGCAGTGTAAAATTGCCCAGTCCACAACCATTGGCTGACATAGACAGCCCTGTAGCAAAAAGATGTTTCTTGGTATGCAAGCCACAACCTCCCCCACTTACAGTTTTAAGAGATGTTTTCTGTCGTTTTGGGAACTTAATTAATGTTTATACTTTGCCTAATAAAACAGTAGGGTATGCTCGATATGCCACTGCTGAGGCAGCAGATGAAGCTATCAGGGTATTGCACGGAGCAGAAATTTGTGGTGTCCGAATGAAAGTACTGGAGGCAGATGATGAAGCACCTCCAAAGAGAGCTAGATATTCAGAGCAATCATTAAAGGAAGATCAACATATGACGAGCACATATTAACCCTAAACATTCCATAAGAATATCTACAGACTACAAATAGTTTGGACAGGGACATAGACACCTACGGACTACCAATTATTTTGACAATGTACTGACAAATAAAATTATTTCATTTATCACTGACATTGTTCTTGGCAAAAATGATAGAGTTCAAAGTCTACTTTTCCATACAAATATACAGACAGACATTCTAAAGTTGACTTTGTTCTCAAGTCATATGTGCTTTCCATCTTTATTTCCCGTCCCAATTAGCATGTAATTTTAAAATCCATTACAGATGACAATATTCTTTGCTAGTATGCCCATGATAATATGATTTTAAAGCTATATATATAATCCATGACGATTGGTTTTGTAAAATAGGTCTTGCTAAATTCACGCGGGCAATGCCGCGGGATACAGCTAATAATGAATATGGTATACCTTTAGGAAAAATTAAACAAAATATGTTCCTTCAATTCCATTTATTGCACACACAACTTTTTTTTCTTTATAAAAATAATTGACAATAATTGAAATAAGGAATATCAAGGCAGATCATGTATCATTCTTAATTATATTTAATAATCTTGGAATCTCAACCTCTTCTCAAATCTCAACTAATGTTTTTAGTTATTTTTGAAAGATGAAAGTAGTATGATGACAATTATTAACCTTTTAACTGTCTCAGCAGAAATGACCTGACAAAGGTTGCAGTGACTACAGAGAGGCTGTGTTTTAATGTTTGTATATTTATTTTCTACATTCATTTAATTCCCTACTACATTAACAAAATTGAGACAAAATGTAGTAGAAAATTAAAAAGAAGTAAATCAACATGGTAATTGTTACAAAATCGAGCGGTCAAAAGGGTAATATTTCTATTGAAACATTAGCAATACCCATTTATGACAACATTTCAACTTACAATCCTAATTTTATTTAAAGTATATCACTTTCTCCTTAGATTACCCTAAAAACATTATTGCATTTTCGTTAGACATCTTTATTTTATGAAAATCTCGTTACTATAGAGGTAATCGTCTGCATAGACAACACAGCCCATGATTTTTAATTAAAAAATAAAATTGTGATTTCAAGAAGATTCGATCATCGCTTGTCCAAGTAGAGGTAGTAGATATTCTCTGTAAAGTGGGTGTTTATCCCCATGTGTGATTTTTATTATTTTCTCTGCGCACTTGAGTTGCAGCAGTGCCTTTTGTAAATTCCTCTTATATAGTAAAATCTTCCCATACTTCAAATATAACAGACCTAACAAAGGATGTCTCTCGCCGTAGTAGAATCTGAAAAAAAAAAGCACGTATATGAAGCATGATTCAGTTTAAAATATATTTCATAGCGACTTGTTTAATCTTTATACAGATGATATTAAAAATATATTAGGGCGGTGAAGTGGATTGTAGGTATAATAAATCTTTCAAATACGCCATTTGGTCTTACAGTTAGTTGGTGACATTGAAGTAAATAGCATTCTACAAGTGAAACTTAACATTTTTTTTTCTCAAGAAACAAGTAATTAACAACGATAAACATTTTAGCCACCCATAGTACCTAACTTGACAGATGGACATATGATATATTTTTTTTAATGGGTGATAAATGAATAATAAACCCCGTCTGCGCTATTGGTATACACTGGCGGAGCACCAGTGAGGGATGACAGATGAGGATGAAAGTAGATCAGTTAGCCCATCCTGACGAATTAAACTAGAATTAGTCACGATGGTTTCCAGGGGGAACCACGTGGAGGTCGACATGACAGGGTATATTGCTAGTAATAGGGCTATTTGACCCCATTACTAACAATCCCTTTCCCCCTCGACATATGATTTTAGTATAAGCAAATTTTTTTTTAGTGTTATATTTAATTTCTTTTTAATAAAACTTGCAGAACAAAATCTTAATTTTTAAGTTTCATTTGGAATCATATCATCAATTTTATAGAATATGTTTTGAAGCTACTATTAGACTGTGCTTACCTGAAACAAGGAATAAGTCTTTCCGCATATTCGCATGCCTTCTCCCACAGTTGCACCATTATGAGGGCATCAAATGCATGGTCCAGAGTTTGTGCATGCATCACGTTAAGAGGATGCAACACACCCTCCTGCCTTTCCAGGCAATATTTGCATACGTCTACATCTGTATCGTAAATTGATAAAGAAAATAACATTAAAATAGCAAAGATATTTTTTAAGTAATTTAAAAAAAGTTGTAAATTCATTACTTGATCTTTCAACTAACAATTTCCTAATCATTTAACTACTTAAATATATATAAAGCTTAATGAGTATTTACGTCGTCCATTAAGTAAATAACTTGGTAACCAGGAAATAGGAGTCCGGCAAAATATAATGAAAACATACTTTAGTATATATTTTTTTCAGAGTAGAATGAAAAGGTAACCCCAATTGTCTTAATTTTATACACTGACGGAGTGGAGTAATGGTGTCATCCATGGCGAAGATTTAATCAGGATTTATCAGAGTCGGAGTGAGGAAGGGTGGGGGGTTTAACTGTCACACGTTATTAAAATTTTTAATTAGTTTTGTATGGATCTTAAACAACTAAAGTTAGCGTTTTATAATAAGATTAGTGATCAGGCCTATCCTAAACAAGCACAGAGACAATATGGTCCATGAATATGACCAAAGAAAATATTATCCACTCTCAAAGGTTTACCAAATTAAATTATATATAAAGTTCGGGATTAAAACACATACAGTACATTCTAATTCATATGACAAACCCATGGGAAATAAAAGGATACAAGCAACAGAAGCACCTTTCATATTTTGAAGATGGAGCTCGGTAAACTCCATTGTCTTAACAAAGATCTCAATATGTTTATCAGTGAATTTAGTGCCACATTCACCGCACCGTATACTATCATCTCTCGGTAGTGCATCCACAATATTGCAACGTGCATTAAATTCATGCCCATTTTCGAATCTCTCCTCTGGTCTTCTAACGAGTGAACAGTCTGCCTTCCATGGAATAGTGACTGAATTATTACATTCACTATTGAGACATTTAGCCCCGTGTACCATTTTTAGTTGAGTTTCATCTGAAACAAAATATGTGATGTAATACAAGAAATTTCAAATAACATTTTTTATTATGATAACAAGCTGGCCCATGTTACATCTAATAAAAAAAAATATCAAATCTATGCAAGCAATTTATTAAACCATAAAATAGCTAAGATTTTATAACACCTATCGATAATATTTTCGTAATTGTACAAAACTAACTCATTTAAATTAAAAATAATACATTATTATTCCCTCCAAAAAATTTAAATAGCAGTGAAATAAAAGAAATAATTACAAGAAATGCATCATACAGGAAACAATAGGTGGCCTTATTACTAGAAGCTATCTTTTCATGCAACCCTTAAATGGAGATGTAATTTAGTTTGATTGAAGGCAAGATATGATTCTGATTGTCCATTTTATCCATACAATAATACTACTCGTGAATAAATAATACACATAAACCGACTCATACATACACAGTTCTTAAGGCCGTTCATAATTTGGCTTATTGAAATATTGCAACGTCGCAATTCACTTGTCAATTTTCAAAACCAATTGAACATTTTTCAATGTTTCTGATTGAATAATTTAAAAGTGCTCTGTATACTGACTAATATGTTAATCATAGAATAAGTTACATATAAATCTAGCACTGACATTTTTATATCTATTTCATATTTCCCTTTGGAATTTTTCTAATAACTAAATTTTTGCAATGTAAATCCGAATTTTCACAGATCGCTTAACATTAAAAACTGTTAAATTAATTTTGAAATTTGACACATAATTGCGATATTGCCACATTTCGGTAAGCTTCTATGGCCAAGCTAAAGTTACGAATGCTTTTAATAAATACTTACCCCCTTATTCATAAAAATTAAAATGTAAAATTAGGTTTATGAGGTTTGATGTTTTTATGAATAATGGAGTTAATGTAGTGACATGAATCTAGTTCAGAATTTCATTTTGCATGTATTTGTTTCGTGAACTCGGAACTCTTACACTCTTTAAGATTTTTTTTTCACGAAACTAGTTTCGTGCAACTACTTCCGCATAATTTTAATGAACTAGTGTTGCGGTAGGTTTGATATTGAGGCCATAGCAGTATGCGCCTAAAAAGGGTCCCCTAAGGCCAGAACAGAATTTTGTAAAAACGAAATTACAGTAATTTTAATTTAGTTAAGCAAAATTATATTTTGTATTCATGAATGAATATAATAAATTTCCTATAATAATTTGACTATAATAAATTTCCATCTCGTATACTTCACATTGAAACTAATTATAAAAAGAAGAGATTTAAATTTATGCTTGTAATTGATAAATTCAGAAAATAATTAACAGATTTAAAAAAAATATTTCACTTATAGAAAACTACATTATTAGCTAATAACATGAAATATATTTTATTTAAAAATAAACGGGATCAGTTATTTAGTATAACTCATACAATAAAACAATCTATTTTCGATTGGGCGACACTAAACTATGATTCGTTTAATGACTTCTTTCTCCTTCAATCAAATCCTATTGAAATGGACTGTAGTGTGGTAAAAGAATATACTTTCAATGCGTGTATAAATTAGTATGCACATCTAAAGCATTTACCCATGCACCTGTCACACTGGCATAAGAAGTAATAGTTTTCCAATAACTCTGTCTGCCTCTCGTACGGCGTTTTCATCAAGTCTATGTATGAGATCCGTATCTGGAAAGGTAAATGACATATATTTTTTTCATGATATTGGAATGAATTCTTCACACTTTTTTTTATACAACTTAGAATAGCAAACAAGCTGACGGCACACCTGATGGAAAGTGATAACCGTCGCCTATAGACATGAGCAGTACCATGGACATAAAAGAGTATATTGAACCAAAATGGTCGCATACAGTGTAATTTCAAAAGAATTTTACCCTGCGAACGCTCAGGCTGTGGAATGAGCAGTCGAGATTTTCTCTAGAGACTATAGTTATGGGGTTCTTCAAAAAGGGTATATTAAGGTTTCTTCATGATTGGCAACACGCACGTGACACCCCTAGTGTTGCAGGTGTCCATAGGTTACAGTAATTGTTTACCATCCGACAAGCTGTAAGCTTGTTTACCACCTTTTTAGTATAAAAAAATCATCGTGATGTCTGTGGTATCTTAGTGGTGGGGGGGGGGGGGGGGGGGGGGTTATATCTTGAGGGTCTCATGAGAGACAAAGTACAAGCTGTGTAGATGGAGCTGGGTACTATTCAGTGGTATTTTTTTTATATGGAGATGAATAGATAAAGCGAAGGTGTGCTGTGAGAAGTTGGCATACAACTTCTTTATGTTCAATCTATGTTCCGAGGCTTATGATCAGCACTGCACAACTAACGGCCGAAGTTGATGAAAACGTAAAGATGGTTATTTTTTTTTTTAATTATTTTGTTTAATTCCGCCACCTTTAGTATGCGTGCGACTACCAATACTCGAAGATTGACTACTATTTGTATTATTAGAAATTCTACAACCTTCCACATTAATCTCCGACTGCCATTACGTCCACGCACGTTTTGCGACACGTGTTTCACCTTTAAACGAGGCATCTTTCCGCAAATTAATAGATTGCTGCTCAGAGCCAATGTTAACAATTTGACACCCAAATTGTGATATAAATAGGAAAAATATACCTGGTTCCAGTCTAAATAAGGCATGTCCGTGATAGCTCGTATGTTGATCGTCTTCCCGTCAAATGTAGCAACTGCGTTTGGATTGCAACTGTGGTCTACAATCGACGATGCTAAATATATCGCTGTTCCTATTGAGTTCATGTCATTATCCAATAGTGTGAAGCTGTTGATTATCATCTGAAATTTAAATAAAAAATATATTATATTAGTGACGTATCGCGGCTACGCACGGGTAGACAAAGTTATCTATTTTTTATTTTCAAATTAATATACTGCCCATGTTACTTACTGAAAATGTAGCTTCCTATTGTTGAAAGAACATTTTATAATCGTTAACTAACTAAAAGTCAAATCTTTTTTTTTTAATAATATTTACTAGATTTTCTCGTTACTTTGTACGCGTGGATTTTATAAGTAGGAAAAACAATGAAATTGATCACTTTTAGATAACGCATCACGATATAACATATTAAGTTTAATTTATTATATATATATATATATATATATATATATATATATATATATATATAATTATATATATATATATTATTATTATATATATATATATATATATATTATTATATATATATATATATATATATATAGATTTTAAGTTAATCTTTCAGGAACACAACTCTGAAAACCGCTGCTAATTTCTAGCAATAGTTATTGCGTGATGCCGGAACAAACATACAGACACCAAAAATGGTTGTTCTAGCATCTATTGTCCTTATTAAGACTACTCCTATGAATTTTTCTATATCTGATTTAATTATAATAAAATGTGATAACCAACTTGGTCACATTTCAACACTAAAAGGAGATGAAAAAAGTATAACTGCAAAATAACTTGTAAAATTTCACAAGAAGACTTGTGACATAGATATATATAGGGATTTTTTTTTATAAAGTCTTATCACAATGTCCTTCATGTCCATGTTACAGGAATTTAATAGGAAGCATAAAAACAGATGGTGAAGTAAATATAATATTATTATTATAATATTATTTTCTATCTGTTCTCCTTTAACTAAAGGTTGTCTGTAAGAGATTGCCCTGGCGATAAGACCGCCTTACAAAAGGCGGTCTTATCTATGTGTATATTTCAATCTGTATTTATGTTACTGTATTTCACTTGAATTATTCATTTGTCATTTTATATTTTTATTTATGGTGCAATAAAGAGTTAAATAAATAAATAAATTATTTTCAGTACTTACCCTTCCATACAATCCCATAAGCTCAACATTATTTGGCAATGACAAGTCCTTTAGAAATTCAAAAAGTACCTCGTACAATGATGTGAAATGTTCCATCCTCTTTGCATCAGCCTTCAGGTCGGGATAATCTGTATATTACAACGCAATATAATCACTGTCCATTCTATGTTGTGTACTTTTTTTTAATGGATGATAATGGAATTGTTTTTTTTTATTGAATGAAAATGGAATGGTAACCCCGCCTGCGCTAACGGGATACGCTGGCGGGGCACCAGTGAAGGGTGATAGATGAGAATGATAACAGGCCAGTTAGCCCATCATGATGAATTCATCTGGAATTAATCATGATAGTTTCCAAGGGGAACCACGAGGAGGTCGACCTGGTTGGGTATATTGCTAGCAATGGGATTCTTAGTTTATAATGGAATGGTTACCTCGCCCGCGCTATAGGCATATGCTGGCGGGGCACCAGTGACAATGAAAGGGTAGCCCATCGTGACAAATCCCACTAGAATTAATCACGGCGGTTTCCAGCGGGAATCGCGCGGAGGGCGATCTGATAGGGTGTATTGCTAGCAATGGGACTGTCAAACTCCATTGCTAACAATCCCTTAACCCCCCCTATGTTGTGTAATCTTGGTATAGAATGGGCTACCCCGTCTTTCCCTTGGGTGCCGTAAGACGACTTAAGGACTTTAATGATCGAGAGATAAATAGCAGTGTTCCTTTTAAATATCAAAGCCTAACTGTGCTTGCCAGGGGGGAAATGGATTGTTAGTAATGGAGACTGAGAATCCCATTGCTAGCAATATGCCCAACCAGGTCGATCTCCTCGCGGTTCTCCTTGGATACTATCATAGTTAATTCCTGATGAATTCATCATGATGGGCCTGGTCTGTTTTCATTCTCATCTATCACCCTTCACTGGTGCTCCGCCAGCGTATCCCGTTAGCGCAGGCGAGGTTACCATACCATTTTCACCCATCAAAACAAACAAAAAAAATACTGTGCTTGCCAACCCGCCTGTCAAGTGACAATTACTGGCATGGAAAAGGCCCATGTCCAGCAGTGGACAGTTAAGAGCTGATATCATAATCATTTAAAGAGTGCTTTGATTGCAAATTAAAATGGTTTAACCTTACAATAAGATTCTTATTAACATATCACTTTTGTATTTTTGTAGTATACTAGGTTTTGCCCGCGTGTGGTATTTATTTATTTTAGAATGGCAAACAAGCTGATGGCCCACTTGATGGAAAGTGGTAACCGTCGCCTATAGACATGAGTAGCTATGGACACAATAGAGTATACTGTTTCGCTCATGATACCCTCCATACGTTTGCCATTTCTGAAGACTCAGGTATTATTCTTCTGTACTCTGTAAATTCACTGCTATAACCCATCCTTCAAACAACACAAACCGTGCAAACACAACTGCTTCACGGGAGTAACAGGAATGGGACAGAGGTGCACAAGCAAACGACTTTTGTACAAAGTCTCCCTCTGGTATTTCTCAATGAATGAAAGTAACTATTTTAAAAGCAAAATAGGTATTTAGTGGTAGATTTATGTACTTAATTTTCTATGTATTATTATCTAGTTCTATATATAATAATATATAATGTAGATTCATATAAATGTACCCACATTGCGCTATACAATAAAAACATAAGTCATTCAGAATATTGAAAACTGTTTATGTAAAATTACAGTAAATACAGAACTTTCAGTACAGATCTTCTAAAGCACTATAAATACTTACGTGACATGAGATCCTTCCACATTCTAAATGATGTGGCCGAGTAGAAAGCCCTATAAGAGTACCCATCGCCCCTACATAGCTTATTGATAATTTTAGCCAGCATACGCGCTGCATCAGGTATCACTTTTGGCGCCACTTTCTTCAGATTCGCACATTCCCACTGCAAATTATAAATGTAAAATTAAACAATAACTTTCTTCTGCATTCATCAAAATTAATACCTTTTACAAACCAATTTTTACTGTTGGAATGTTTTTTCACTGTCTTGCAAATTGTATATTTAATGCAAAAGGTATAGACAAAACACCTCAACAGCTAAAATTAGTTTATGAAACATTTGACGTTTTTATGAATAAGGGTAACCCCCTTATTCATCAGGAGATTACCCTTATTTATAAAAACGTCATACGTTCTTTTTCATCTTAGATAACTTTGTATAATAGATTTCGGTCCTACCTATTATTTCTGCTGCAAACTAGATACATAGATATATAATTTATTTGCATTACTTACAACACACGAATAATAATAGACATACACAGTAAAAAAAAAAAGATTAAAACAATGCATATTTAAAAAAAATTAAAATATATAAATAGCTTGCATATTATTATTATATCAGGCGTTAACTGCCTACTGCCGAATATAACCCTCTCTCATAAGGGTTTTGCTATTAATTGTTACGATTGGCAGGTGGGTTGGCAACTGTAAATAGGCATTAGGTGATGTTTTAAGAGAGACGCTGCTGCACATCACTCGACCATTAAATCCCTTAGTCGTCTCTTAAGACAGCAACAGAAAGAGGGATTTTCTACGGTTACCACTTTCCATCAGGTGGGACGTCAGCTTGTTTGTCATATGTTATATACACAAGTGATAACTTCCTAACTCATTCCGAAACACATTCCTTGTGGAAAGGTGCTGAGTTTTATTCACACTATAATTAGATTTAAAATTGTTATCTCCGTACTGTTACATCAAAGTATTACATAAATACACTGTTCGATAAAAATAGACCGCAATAAAAATAAAATAACCGATAGTACAGAAATAAAAAAGATACATTGAAACGGATCACTGGCGAGTTACGAGGAAATGGCAAGGAGCCATAAATCGCGCGTCTGTTTCGCTTCACCCGGACACGTACAGCCGCCAACAATAATATGTTAAACGATAATTATTTTTTATTTTACGTATAATTAATATTAAGGTAGGATTAGATTTTTATTGATAATAGAATGGTAATCTCGCCTAGGTTATCCATTTACGCTGGCGGAGTGCCAATGAATGAACTCATATCAATCGGCCCATAGTGATGAATTCACCAGGAACTTACCACAATTACATGAATCGACCTTCATGAGATAGATTTTTCAGATTCCTAATAATGGTGACTAAAGTCTGCATTACTAAACAATCCCCTCCCCCTTCCATCGGTGGTATTTTTTTTTAATAGATGGTTAGGTAATCCCGCCTGCACTTTTGGTATACGCTGGCGCGGCCCAATTACGTGATAATGGGTGATGATAAATGCAAGTCAATTGGCCCATCGTAACGAATTTATTAGAAATTTACCGTGATGGTATTGGGGGGAAAGGGATTGTTAGCAATGGAGTTTGACAGCCCCATTGCTAGCAATATGCCCTATTAGGTCGCCCTCCACGTGGTTCCCCCTGGAAACCATCGTGTACAATTCTTGTTGAATTCGTCACGATGGACCAACTGACCTGCTTCATCCTCACCTATCATCCTTCACTGGTGCCCCGCCAGCGTATCCTGATAGCGCAAGCGGGGTTACCATTCCATTATCACCCATTAAAAAAAAACATGATGGTATCGAAGGGGAACCGCGTGGAGGTTAATCTGATAGGGTGTATTGCTAGTCATTAGACTTAATTATTAACAATCCCTTTCCTCTGGAAAGATTTTTTAATAGGTGAAAATGAAGCAGATCAGTTATTCCATCGTGACGAATTGAACAATAAACCAATCACGATGATTTCTGGGGAGAACCGCGTGGAGATAAACCTGATAGGATGCATTATTTGAACAATCTCTTTCCCCCCGGTAGAATTAGATTAGGGTATGCTACGTTAGTTTCCGCATGTGGAATATCAGATTCATTTGACCTTTTAAAGTTGAAGAAACAGATATACAAAGAAGAAGTAAAGGAGGCAGATACCAGGGGGAGTATTTTTTAATCCCTGACGTATGGGGGAAATGGGATTGTTAGTAATGGGGTCTAGCTGACCCATTGCTAGCAATACGTCCTTTCAGGTCGATTTCCTCGCGGTTCCCCCTGGAAACCATCGTGGTTAATTCTAGTGGAATTCGTCACGATGACCTAACTGACCTGCTTTCATCATCACCTATCATCCCTCACTGGTGCCCCGCCAGCGTATACCGATATCGCGGGCGGAGTTACCATACCATTATCACCCATTAAAAAAAAAGGTGTTAAAGTTTGATGTGTCCATGTGTGTCTGTGGAATCATAGCTCTTAAATGATTATATATGATGCGGTTTTTTTATTTGAAAAGCTGACGTAATCGTGACGGTTCTTAGCTACAATTTATAAAGATTCAAGGTCATGAGCTCTTTTTATAGGTTTGTTTGTAAGGAGGCTGCTTTAAAATTTTAATAAATTTATGCGTATTTTACGTGCGGAAAATCTCTGTCAAAATTAGACCACACGCAATGGTAAGCGAATGAAATTATGTAGGATTTTAACCCATTACCACTATGCGGTGCTCTCGAAAATACAACCCAGAACACATCAACCCTAGCTAATTCACAAAAGTTTGTTTCCTAAATTGGCTTAACTGGGAATCAAATCTGAGACCTCATTTACGCAAAGCAATGTGCCCACTATTGTACCGCGGAAATCATCAAATTAAAATACAGAAGAGTATACCTTATGGTCCACCCAGGCATCTTTCTGGCATGAACGTCCGCAGTAATGCACGAATTGACATCCAGAGCATTTCAGCACCTTGCCCCTGAAATTCACAAGGTGTTGTCATTGTACAGATTAAAAATAGCAGTTGAGATAAATTATTCAACATCTGTTTGTATAAAAGAAGATACAGTGCCAATTTTAATAGTATTAAGCAATTAACATACAATTATAAGTTAGTTTTTGAAAAAGGGCAACACAAAAGCTTTTTAAATTGATAAAAATAGAATGATAACCCTGCTTGCTGCCTGCTTACTGGTATATGCTGATAGGGCAGGTTTTTTTTTAACAGATGATAATAGAATGGTAACTCCGCCAGCGCTAACAGTATATGCTGGCAGAGTACCAGTGAAGGATTATAAGTGAGAATGAAAAGGCTGAGAAAAAAACTTTCATATATTTTTTTATGCATCTTAGAATGGCAAACAATCTGACAGCCCGCCTGATGGAAAGTAGTAACCTTTACTTATAAGCATAAACAGTACCAATGACCTAAGAAAGTATAATGTGTGTAAGAAATTACAACATTCCCATAAACTAAATTAAAATCCTAAAGTGTTTTCCATGCTGCAGTATATTATAAAAAAATCCATTGGCCACACTTAGCCCCTCATTAGAGCCTTTTTGGATAGTTAGTTTGTTTACTAATCTCAGTAGCTTAATATTCAATTAAATAGTAAAAATACATACTAAAATGCTTTCCAGAAACAATATGAGTCCACATATGAGTATGAATGATAAGGTTGATCAATTTGATCCTGCAATATTTAGTTGCAATATAAATTGCATAAAAATATATTTGATTAAGTGTTATTCCTATAAATTAGACATGACCAATTTAGTAGAGGAAGCTGTGCAATGTATATTACAAATGTAACAATATATAGCAATATTACTTGATAACACTTCAATGGCTTTGAATAAATTTGCACAAATAAGCCACATTCTAAATTAGCACATTTGTTCTAATTCAAAATTATTTATTACGCAGCTGAAATGAATAAATATGAAAGTGTGTAATTATGTTTGTTTGTGAACTGCCTTTACTTATGCACTATTATTTAATCATATTTAAATATACTAAATAAAAAACATATGTTAAAAAGTTCTCTTAACATACGCGGGAAAAATAGCACAATGCAGTTTAAAATAGATAAACCGACTTAATATTAATTTTTAGGTACTTGAAGGATAGATGCTCAATATATAAACAATATTATGGATTCAGTTTAATTTTACTTACCTTTCTAAACAATTATCACATCGAATCCCTTTTTCCTTTGAAGAGAGAACATAAACGAATGGTTGCTCAGTCAATATAATATCACCGGCTTTTATTGTCGACTCAGAGTTTCTAAACTTATTCTTCATATTGCTTATCTTTGAGGTAGATAATATTATATTCTGGTCTTTGTTTTTTTTTTTTTTTTATTAGGAAATATCTAAGGTGTGCGTACAGCCTACTGAATTGAATGTAACAGGAATGTAAAGGTAAATTATTATAGCAGTTGGCCAGTTGCAAGCTGAAAATATTAGTTGGCCCCGCTCGTTACCTGCCGTTCCAAATTTAACCTATCGGTTTCATTATTTTTAGTGAATATAGAACGCGACCGCAGATGAACAGTATCAATGTAAAAACAAACAAAAAAGCACTAAAATTAGAATGAGGCGAGTGGGAACAGTATTAAAAAGAGAAAAATAAATAGGATTTATTTATATGATGATAGAAGTCAGACAACGTCAAAATCAAAGTCAAAAAATGACAATTATCTATGTCATACAGAGATTAAGTTCTGATTTATAGACTATATTAACAAAACTTCTATTTAACTTAAACTTCAGTTTAATGTAAATAGAAATTGGAAAGTGCCAAATTATTTTTAAAAAATTCGCCGGGTTGGTCCCGTCATAGAATGGACCACCCCTTCGTTTCTCATGGGTGTCGTAAGAGGTGACTAAAAAAGGGCGAGGGTGGAATAGCAACATCTCTTTTAAAACATCATTAAAGCTGAACTGTTGTTGCCAACCAGCCTGCCAAACGTGGCAACTACTGGTAAATTCTCCTACTGGGGAAGGCTTATGTTCAGCAGCAGCCTTCAAATTGATAAAGAAAAATGCATACACTTGATTTCGAAAGAGACGACATTGTACTGTTTTATATAGTTTGTATATTTATATCAAAATTTTTACAAAAGTAAGTATTGCAATGAAATGTAAAAATCATATTTTTCTATTATTACTAGGTATAGCTGAGATATTGGATAGCGCAATTTCTGTGATATAGCCTCACTTATCTATACTTGACACTACCTACTTGACAGTTTGACAGTGACCTAAAAAGTACTCTGTAACAGTCTATCAAAATTTCTATTTTTTCTATTTTTTGGGGTTATATTAATGTTCTTTTCTTTATTTTTTTTTGTCTTATATTGATATATCCACAATTTAAAGATTTGTATAGTAGATGTACTAGCCTTTTAAATAATTTATTACAGTTTCAAATACAATGTCAATTATCGTCACTAAAGCAGCGTTAGCACTGAAAAACTCCGAAAACAATTTTCAGTTCGTAAAGTTTGAATCGCATAAACCGAAAAAGAAAGAAACTGCTATTGATAATGAAAAAAATGATACGAAAACCTATCTAGGCCAAAAGTCCAAAAAAGATTTAGATCTGAAAAAAATAAGACATGAAGTGGTTAAATTCGGCATGTCTGGATTTGATTCGACGAAAAAAGAGGAGGCAAAAATTGCCTTAGCAGTGAGTTTAGGTTAGTTAACTTTTATTAATTTTGTAAGTTAATATCACAATAAAAATGAACAGTGTGCAATAGGCGCTCAGAATCTATTTTTGTTGTTATTGAAGTCCTTGATTTAATCGCAAATAAATGAAAATAAGTTTTAGACACATATAGCATTTAATCTTCAATATGTAGGCACATTAAATTTCATGTCCCTGGCACATAGGATATATTTAAATTAAAAACTAGTATCCTGATACCATTACTATCATTAAAACTTGTTTGAAAATTACAATTACAGGTGCAAAACCACCTAAACAGAAGTACATCAATTACAAAGAGTTAATGGAGAAGAGAAAGCAAGAGAAACAGCAAGCGAAAGATGAGAAACAACTGATGGTATCCAAGACTTTACTGAAGACTAGTGGCAAGAAAAAAAAGGCTAATAATGACGTTGGACATTTTTTGAGTGGATATGGAAAGGTAGGTTCTTTTTTAAATTTAAAAAGAAACAGGAACAATGACAATAGTGGTGGACTCAATATGATTTTATATTCATTGTAATTGGCAATACATCGGCTAGTCGTCTAATACTCCAATAATTACTTGTGAGTAACAATATCTCTTCATTTCTATCATGTGAGGTATTATTACAAAGCTTTTTTTATAAAGTTTATTTTAAAAATATTAAAATAAAACAAAAATATTTTTAATGTAATAACTATTAAATCTTTATTTAATCTTTAAGCTAAATCTGTAATTATATTGAAATATATGTACTTATGAAACTTTTAACCATAATTTAGTTGTTGGAGAAGACTTATTACTTACTGTATTATATATATATATATATACACACACATTATTATATTAATCTTAAAAATCTTTCTATATTATATATATATTACTGTGCCATATATATATATTCTGTGTTATATATATTCTTAATATTTTTAATATATTGTGTATTATACACATTTTATTGACAGCCTATTAATTTAAAAAAAATGTCTGGTCTTTCAGGTGCAGAAGAAAGATTTGAAAAAAGATGATAACAGTAGTAAGAAGAAAAAGAAAAAAAAAATAAAGATTATTATATTTGTATGTATTTTATCTTGTAAAATATAATATGTAAATAAGAAAAGCATTTTTTGTGGTTGTATAACTCTAATTTTACTAATACATATAATAAAATTGTAACTAGGTGAGGTCTTTATATAGGAGATATTTAAGAAAAATTAATATGAGGAGTCTTAATAAGAGCAATAGGTGCCAAAACAATAATTTTTGGAAATTTTCTGTTAAAATTATTGGACCAAATTGGATGTGATTTAATTTCTGAAGGGCTAATTTAAAAGCTGATGTAGCTTTTACACAATCTAGAAGAGATCTATTGTATAAGGGTTATTTTTTTCTGAAATCCATGTGTACATAGTGAGTAAAAAACTAGTAACATACAGGAAAAGGGTGCAAATATTGGGTAATTATAATATTGAAATATTGGGTAGGTACTGCAAGTTTAGCTCTTCATGTTACAATATTCTACAATAGTTGTGTTTGCATGACTGTGTTTCGGTTTGAAGGGTGGGATATGGCGTGAATTTACTGGGTACGGAGGAATAACATCTGAGTCCTCAGGAATGGCAACGAATGGGATGTATCATGGGCGAAACAGTATACTCTGTTATGTCCATAGTACTGCTCATGTATAAGCGATGGTTACCACTTTCCATCAGATGGGCCGTCAGCTTGTTTGCGATTCTAAGTTGTATAAAATAAACATATAGAAGTGATGCCTCTGATCTATTTGTCTTTGGAAATGCAGTATTAAGTATTACTTGATATATGGATATTTATCAAGAATATTAAAAGTAAGGCTAATAACTAAAAAAATATACTACATAATTATGTTGGAATTGTTCCAGCGATATATCACAACCTATATGCATGCATGTAGTAATTTATTTAACATGTAGTAATTTATTTTTGACTTGAAATACAAATAACAAATTTGGGGTAAGTACCTATACATCATTATAGCAAGAGACTAGTGTTTATTCTTCTTATTACCCTAATTTTTTTGTGATAAATATAAAAATAAAAGTTTCCTCTCACTATATATATGTATATATACATATATATAGAGTGATATATTCCACTTGATAGAAAGTGGATTTTTTTTTACAACACAGGGGGCAAACGAGCATGCGGCTCACCTGGTGGTGACTACCGCCGCCCATGATCACCCACAACACTAAAGGCATTGCAGGTGTGCTGTTGGCCTTTTAAAAAGGAATATGCTCTTTTCTTGAAGGTTATATTGTTGTATCGGTTCGAAAATACTGCTGCTGGAAGTTGATTCCAAAGAGTGATTGTGGATATCTTTTTATAAAAGTTCTTTATGACTATAGCTGACTCATTATTAATTCTATTCTCTTATAATGTTGACAATATCTTACTGTTATTCTTCGACATGGACTTAGAAATAATAAAACAATGATTGTAGTCCATTCCTGTGGCTTTGCCTATGTAAATTAGTACATAAAGCACCCTGCTTTAAGTAGGGTTATAACTTGTTTAAGTATGATTTAGTAACAAACATACAAATACATGTTTAGAATATCTTTACCACTTTCACATTTATATTATTAGTAGGATTATTTTGCTGGTATTCGTAAAGAATTTGTAAGTGAAACCATATATGAATAGTTAAAATATTTTTTAATTAAAAAATAACTAGATATAGATATCTATAATATTTACAAAGAATATAAATTACACATTTCACATTAATATTATGCAGGCAAGTTCATTTTTACAATAAATAAATTAAAAAATAAACAATATAATAATTATTATATTACTGGACTTAAACATAAGGTTCAAAATACTTAATAGCTGTCAACATAGGCTTTTCGTTGATTTTGTTCGTTGCTACGGGATTTTTAACTCGCATCTTAATGTCTTTAGGTTTCAACACGTTTTTGTGATTGGCACTCGGAGGTCGAGGCGGCCTAATGCCTTGATTCTTAGTAGGCGTGAAAATTGACTTAGAACTAAGACCAGAAGACTCAAGGAAGAAATCAAACGGTCCTTTTCCTTTATTTGCGTTCAATTCTGGGTTATTGTTATTCAGAATCATTCTAGGTTCACATTTGACTGTGTTGTATGAACCACTGTTACTTCCAGAGGAATTACTCGACTCTATATCAGAATTCCTTACCGATTCAGTCTCTAAATTCTCTATGTTAGATAGGAGATCAGGTTTATTGGATAGCTTACCATTTTTCGTCAAACCTTTGTTCAATCCACTTTCATTGTTTTCAAGAAAGGTATCGCTTTTTTTATTTTCAGCATGAGTGCTTGTAGCATTATGCTGACTGTCTTTATCAGGTACAACGGTAAGTATATGTTCGGTTACCACGTCTGACATGGAACCATCGCTGCTTCCGGAGCTAATACGATATTCTTCCGCGACAATGCTGCCGAGTTCATCATCTATTTTAAATTCTTCAAAGTTCTGCGACAAATCAAACTTATCTATCTCGTCGAAATATTCTGCTTTATGTAATTCTGCATTACTAGTCTGTGATTTTTCGGGTACATGATTGAATTGATGATCCAGTTCTGTTAGATTAATTTGCTTATTGCCACTTTTGCCTCCCTTGTTAATTTCAGATAGTATAGAAGACACTGTGTTTCCCATTTGTATTGAAGCACGAGGGTCCAATTTTGGTTGCAGAGGATGTATACTAAAGTTAGTCAAGTAACTGTCGGTAGTATGTTGAAATTGATGATTTTGTTCTTCATTTGGCTTATCTTCGTCATCTGGAATGATAATTTCAGTAACTTGCGGAAGTTTTGGAATATCTTTGTCGCTGATTTTATTTTGTATACGTGGCAAGGACACGACTTTAGCCACACTGTTTCTTTGATTGATTGTGTGTATCGGGTATTGTTCATTGTGTATTTCAACCGTTGGCTGTGTAAGTAGCAACTCCCTTTTACCATTACTGACTACTGGAACATTTATCTCGGAAATGGAGCAGTAGTCCGGTTCTATACTATTAACAGTCGCTACTTGTCCTACTTTTCTCATCTTAACATCTGCAACCCGTTGATTAGCCGCAACGGCTTCAGAGTCTAACGGTTCTGTCGATGGTCTGACAGTATTTTCAGCTTTCCATTTAGCTGATAAGTTCTTTGGTTTAGGCGGCAGTGCAGGAGGAGTACGTGGCACTTTTCTTTTATTGAAGATTTTCATAGACCCCAGATCATTGTCATTATTTTCTATATTGTTACTCCGACTTTCTATATTTGCCGCAATATTTTTTACAATCGAGCCTCTTATTTTAGGAACGTTGGGCTTATCATTAGATAATACAGGTCTTATTGATGGCACAGGCTTGGATTCAGTGGATTTAGTAATAATGGGCTCATATTCATTGCTATAAATACTTTGTATTTCATATTGAAATCCTTGAGCTGTGTTCGGTACTTCATAACTGTGCTCAGAGGCAGTTTCTAAGCTGAACTTAACGATTTTATTTGCCCTTTTGTCAGAACGAGGTAACGTATGACTGTTACCATTAGTTCGCAGTTTATCGTCGTATGTTATGCTGTTCAATGTAGAAAACTGTACACGTTTAGTCGATGATTTCGGGCTCGCAATTTCACTAGACTTAGAATTGTCATTGCTACTATCATCTAATGAGTTTTGTAGGAGTATTTGATTAACACATTCTAGTACTGGATTATTTTTATATATTTCATTGGTAGGGCTATCATCAGCGTCACTAGTGCTCGCATACCAATTTTCGTTTATCTCGTTACTTTGTTTACATATACTGGACTCCATAGTATTATTATTTTTATCATCAAAGTTAGAACTATATTTCTCAGATGAATTATTTTTCAGCATATTATTACACAATACTTCGTTTTTAGTAGATAAGGGATGTATATTAGACATGTTTCTTTTAAAATCTGTACCTAAGAGATCGTCGGTGGATTTTGATTTAGGATTATTCGATAGACCTCTTTGGTGTTGTAGACAATCTGTATCTTGCTCAGGATCACTTACATTGCAGTACCAAGGTTTTTCATTTGCTTCTTCATTCAGAACATTATTAAGGAAAAGTTGTCGATTTGCTTTTATTTCATCAGAAGCTTGTCTCTTAATCCCGTGCAATTGCTCCTTTTTGGTTGAATATGTTTTATCTGAATCGCTTGCTGTATTTTCTTGTTCTTTTTTATTTGCCTCTCCTATTATTTGATCAATCTTTTGTGATGCTCTTCTTATGTATTTAGCAATTTGATTAGCAGTCATATCATTATCTTCGTGATTAACATGATAACTCATACCAACGCATTCTTCGGCACTACTACTATTATTAGCTTGATTGTAACTTTTTTGTATATTATTTTTTCTTCCGGAATATTTTCTCGATCGTCTGAATACGTCACGTCTGACAAAAGCTTGTTTGTTTTTGATAAACGTACCTTTGCTTGCGACAGTCCCATTGTTCCCTTCTTCACTGGAACTAGTATTACCGTATACGATATCATTCTTCGGCAATTGAAAGCTTTTACTTAGCCTAGTATTTTTTTGGAAAACCGGTGGAGAATTTCTTTCACGATAACTACAGCTTCTTATAAATGTATTTTGAAATCTCGAATCGGTGCTCTCAAGGCTCTGGAATTCTGGATCAGTCTCAATATTGGTTTGTTCGCTTGTGAAACCGAGGAGCTGTTGACAGTTACTGCAGTAAGATTTGCGAGCTTTGAGCTTGATAATCTCTTCTTGCTGCGACTTGATTATTTTCTCTTTCTGTTGGAGCGCAACATGAATTTGTCTCTGTTCTCGGGTCAATCTTGATTCTAGTAAAACAAGCGAACGGAGGACTAGCGCTAGTTGATCTTGCCTCAACCGTCGTTCTTGTACTGCTTGCTTGTCACGAGCGGCGAGAGCCTGTCCAGCTTCTACTAGCTGATGCCTTTGCTTGAGGACGGACTCCGACTGCTGTTGGAGCGCACTCCTAACAGCGTCGAGCTCCCGCCTCAACTCCATTGCTTCTGAGCTGCTATCCATCTGTAATTAAAAAAAGAACATGTTGAATACTAATAATTGAGAGCAATGAATAGTTAGAATGGATAATGAACTTCGTAAATTCTTTACAATATGGAGCCGTGAACTCAGTTAGATTTATATAACGGAAACTTGAAATCAAATATTATAGACTGGCCGGATATATGTGAGGAAATAACTGTCGCGCAATGACTGACTTTGATAAATGATTGGGCTTCTCTAATGAGAGTGAGTAAATCAGTGTTTAAGGGTATCGCTACTTGATAATAAGGTCACGGGTTGGATCCATTATCAAACTAGGAACTGTTTCAAGCAACTATACGATAAAATAACATGTAGCTAATATAAGAGTACGAGTACTAAAAAAAAAGGTTAGTTTGTAATAATAAAAAAGCAGGACTGAAAAAAAATTTTTGGAACACTGCAGGAAACAACAATTTGAGGAGATATAAAGAAAGATTTTGGCGGATCGAATGATCAAGAAATAAATTTTGGTCTCTATAGATATATTAAATACATGAAAAAGTCTTCGTAAAGGTTGTTCATTAGAATTTAATTTACAGTTTACTACCCGAATTAAAACATATTTAACAATCACTTTACAACCATATATTTTTTATACTGGTCTATGATTTGTTTCATGACCGTTTAGAATAAAAATTTCAAACGTAAAAAAAGTACCCCACTATAAAATAATAAAGACTAAATTCGGTTTATAATTTTATATAATATAAGGTAACTTTCAATAATAATTGATATTTGTTCCACAAAATGTACTGTGAATTCAATCGTCACAAAATTAACACGCTACCAATATAGGAGTAAACTTTTATTAAAAGAAATTGATTACCTTTTTCTTTTTTGCAGTCATGTAAAAACAAATTACAATTGAGGAAGAAATCGCGTAATTTACACACACACAAAATAAAAAAAAAATTAAGAGGAGCTTCTTGTTTTAAAGTCTTTTAAAGATATTATGACTAGTAAATAATTATAATAGCAAGGTAATTTCGTTCCAAGTAAAAATTGGACGCAGTGCATTGTAGTATTTTTTAGGGTTCCGCACTAAAAATGTAATAAGAAACCCTTATGATGCAAAACGTCCGTTCGTCCGTCTGTTGTTTTACATTAATGCTATCAATTTATTTTAGGTATTGCAGATCCGTAAAGAAAATAATAAAAATATATATATATTATAATAAGAAACAATGAAAAATTTGATAAAAAGCTAAAATAAAGATGTTGAAAATAAAGGGTAAAGCGATAAATAAGTAATTACTTAATATGGTCTTTGAAAAATAATAAACTCTTAATATAAATTAAACTTAATATTAATTTCATTCTACATATTTATATAAATATAATTTTATAAATTAATAAATAAATCTTATTTATAGATTTCTGTACGGAATATCAGTGTTGGTATGTGAGCTGCACTCGCACTTGACCAGTGTTTATTTACAGTCCAAAGTGCAAAATACTGTTAATTCTAATAATAAAAAAAATGCTTAAATCATTATTAATACAATGAAGACCTTTGGCCGTAGAGGCTCAAATTTTATTTCAATTTTTATTCAGTCAGCAATTTTACGAACGCAAGGAAACGAAATAAACACTAGATTTACGTAATAAAACAAAACAAATGCGTCATTATGTACGATACCTGTATTCTCTATGAAATACTTTTGCACGTGCTTTGTTGCATGAATTTTTGTTCTAGTTAATATCACGGGAACATTGTCGTGTGATTTCGGCATAGAATAGGTCACCTGTCCTTTTCCCGTGGGTGTCGTAGGGGCGACTGAAGGAACTTAATGGTCGTTAACGGTATTTATAAAACATAATTAAAGATTGTGTCCCAAAAAAAAAACCGACTTCAACTGTGACAAAACCAGTTATTTTGATTTAAAAACTAAACTGTTGAATCGATTTTGATAAAACATCTATGGGATCTAATCTAAAAAAATATAATCTAGTATATAAAATTCTCGTGTCGCAGTGTTTGTTGCCAAACTCCTCCGAAACGGCTTCACCGATTTTTATGAAATTTTGTATGCATATTGGATAGGTCTGAGAATCGACCAACATCTATTTTTTATACCCCTCAATAATAAGGGTGACGCACCCCTAAATTTTTTTTTTATTTTTTTTACAAAATTTTTTAAATATTCGAAATAATGTATGTGGTAAAACAACGTTTGCCGAGTCAGCTAGTATTTCAATAAAAAAAGAATTTCCCAAATCGGTTTATAAATGACGGAACTATGAAGCAACGATAATAAAACAATACAACCGAATTGAAAACCTCCATTTTTTTATTATTGAATAAAAAACAATAAAATGACATGTTTGTGAAGTGAGTTTGTATGAGTCGTGGGTCCACACGTGCGTTACACTGATAACGAAACAGTAGCACATAAGTACTTCTATTATCAACCCCTGGTACTAACTGAACTGCTGATATTACCATGATAATGGTAACGTTAATTGGAATGCCCATTCCATTAAACGTTTGTAAAGTTTAAAGTTATAAGTAAACATACGGGTCGATTCTGAGGCTTTTTCATTCAATTTATTCTTTAAACCCTTAAGTCTGGGGGGAAAGGGATTGTTAGTAATGGAGACTGAGAATTCCATTGCTAGCAATATACCCAACCAGGTCGACATCCTCGCGGTACCCCCTGGAAACTATCATGGTTAATTCCTGACGAATTCATCATGATGGGCTAACTGGCCTGTTTTCATTCTCATCTATCACCCTTCATTGGTGCTCCGCTAGCGTATCCCGTTAGCGCAGGTGGGGTTACCTCGCCATTTTCACCCATCAAAAAAAACCCTTATGTCTTTAAAACTAATATTTTACTTACTGTCCATTGCTAAACATAAGTATTCTCTAGAAGGGGAGTTATGCCAGTAGTTGCCACGCTTGGCAGGTGAGTTGGCACCTTTAGTGATGTTTTAAGAGGGACGCTGCTGTCCATTCCTCGCTCTCTTTTAGTCGGCTCTTAAGGCACCCATGGGAAACGAACGGGTGGCCTATTCTATGCCGGGAACACACGGCCAATATGGAATTATATACGAAGACAATTTTAGTACTAGGTCACAATTCAAAAGGAAATTTTTTACAACGAGGAAATACCTATTCATATCTATTTATTCAAGTGTGAAGTTTAAACAAAATAGATAACACTGGGACACACCGTTTCAAATAATTAAATACAAATTGAAATTATTTTGTAAACACGGTTATACTCGTATTTACTGAAGTGTAATGAATAAGTAATGTAATTGTATGATAAAATAATGCTTTCTATAACTTGGAATGATAAACAAGAAGACGATTCACCTGATGGGATGTGGTAACTGTCGTTTATAGACATAAAGCAAAAGAATGACTTAGAGTGATAACATTTCTAGAGTAGAAATATTCGTAAAATACCTTATACCAAGTCTCATGTGGCAACGAAGAGGCCATCAATGCCGCTTGGTCTCCCTATCAAACTACCGTGATTATTTCCTGGTGAATTCGTAACAATAGGCCAACCAAATCAGGTCGATTTCTTCCTCACTTATCACCTTTTTAATCCATTTCATCCATTCCATTGCATTTTTGGCTCATAAATAGAAACCTCATGTGCCTGACGTGGTGATATAGTAAGTAGCTTGTTTCATCAATTATTAAAGATTTTTGTGTCCCGCAAAAATAAACCGAATTCAATTGTGACAAAACCAGTCATTTTGATTTAAAAACTAAATTATTTCAATAAAATTTCTATGGGACCAAACAATAAGTATAGCCTTTTAGAAAAAAAAATTCTCTAATCAATCCAGCACGATGGTTTCCAGGAGGAACCACGTGGAGGTCGACCTGACAGGGTATATTGCTAGCTGTTGTAATAACAATATAATATTAAAACATAGAATAGATGTAAATCGTTTAATGTTAATGTAATCGTGACATAAGTTATTAATGACAGATCGCTTAGATGATAAAAAGACTATGATAGTAGGAGGTGTTATACCACATTACTCCCCCCCAATGGAAATACAGTTTTTAGAAACCGTAACGTGCTGGTATTTTCCGCTGGCGTAGTGAGCGACGTAATAACTGTGGCCGCGGATCAGTAGGGGTAATTTCATCGTTTCTCGATGCTGAGGTGGCAACAAAAATACCATCATGTGGTGTTGAACCTTCAGGGTGTTGCCTGCTGGTAGAGGGTACTGGTGATGATTGTCTTCCACAATCACCACTATGTTGTAGTCGAGCTTCTCTATCTGTGATTCGTTGATAGTGAGTATATGCTGGAATGCCATCTTGACTGCTAGATAGTCTTGGGCGTAAATGATCGGAATGTTTGCGTTGTTGGACTCCGTTCGAAAACTGTACCTCATAGGAGTATGGTCCGTTGCATTTTATTATTATACCTGCATCAGATCCCTTCCCTGTGGGTTTATTTACCCAAACTTTATCTCCGTGTTTGTATGTTGGCGGAACGACTACCTTCTGTGTTGGTCTTATTTCTTTATACAGCCTCATCCGTTCTAAGTCGTCTTGTATGTTTGGTTTTAATAAATCGAAGGTAGTACGCATTGGCCTTCCAAACATTGCTTCAAAAGGAGTTCGGTTTGTTGATCGACGGGTTGTGTTCCTATAAGCTTGAAGGATCCTGCTAAGTCGTTCATGCAAATCGATACTCTTGTCCGAAGCTAACAAACGTTCTTTAAATGTACGAACAGCACGTTCTGCTAATCCATTTGTTCTAGGGTGGTATGGGGTCGTTCTAATGTGTGTTATACCAATATTTTGACAGTGAGTTTTAAACTCGTCAGATATAAATTGAGGACCATTATCGGTAACGATATATTTGGGCACGCCAAATGTTGCGAATATAGTATCTAGATGAGATATTGTTGATCTCGATGTTGTTGATTTCATTGGTATAATCTCTAGCCATTTTGTATAGGCGTCTATTACTATGAGCCACATATATCCAAAAAATGGG